AGGCAACCTGCAAAAGCAGTCTGCTGGGAGACCTTCCTCCCCAGCTGACACTGCAGGAAGGACCCCCTGCAGAAGCAATAGGGCAACCTGGTCCCATACCCTCATGAAATGCCTCTTATAATTGTGACATCTTGCAACTGTGGAGCACTTTATACTTCTCAGAGTTCCCAGACACTCACTTATTTCTCAAAAGACCTCTGGGAGGTGGGGGGATGGGGTCATTATTCCCCTTTAGACATGGGGAAATAGGATCCGCGTGAGCTAAATGACTGCCAGATCCCAAAGTAGAATTCAGACCTCCTCGTTTCTAAGTGGACACTCTTTCTACACCACAATAGTGTGAGTGCACTGTGTTTATAGGGCGCATTCAAATCCATTACTATCCATTAAGATCCCCTCAAAAAAATTCCAGGGTGGCCTGAGTTGCTCCTTAGACCAATGAAATCAGAGTCCTGGGAGTGGGGCCCGGGCCTTGGGATCCTTTAAAGCTCCATTTGGAGAGCCTTGTGCACAGCCAGGTTGGGTTCATCTCCCAGTCTCCCGGCCAAGCTGCCCAGGAGATCCCTTAGTACCCTGGGCTCTGATAAGTGTCATTGTTTTGTAGAGTAACTTCCCAGCGGAGCTGCCACTGGGACCCATCCTGGAAGCTGAAGTCCCCAGGGCCCTCCTGAGAGGAAGTGTGAACTGAAAGATGGGGAGGCAGGCGGCTCTGACAGACAGAAAGCAAACAGCTCAGAGGGGTGGCAGGCTGCATTTTATTCATCGTTAATTTAAACACCCTTCAAGTCCTCTCTTGGAGCGCTGCTCAGAAAAATAGATGTATTGTTTGAGAAACCTGCAGCTTGTCCCGCATGCTCTAACCCCCTCCTGAGAGAACAGGTAGCATAGAAAATGATTTGTAAAGCAAGGGGGAGCTTCCTTAGGGAATAAGAGGAAGGGGAAGAGGGTCTCGGGCCAGGTCCAAATGCAGAAATCCTCAATGCATGAGACTAGCGTGGAGGGTATAGCAATTGCGCTCTGGGGTGCCTGAAGGTGCCAGAGTTGCTCCAGGGGCAAGAGTCCAGGCCCCAAGTCCATGCTGATGAGCCCACCCTGGGGGTCAGGAACGGCCTCAGCAGGCCCTCCCTCCCTCCCTCTCCACCCTACAAAGTGAGGAGCCTTCAGAGTCACCACCAGCACATTATACAACAATACAACAACCCTGCAACAGATAAACAAAGCCCCAGCGCCTCTTCTGGACTCAGAAGTGCCCTAGGCTGGCTGTCTGGCTGTGCTTTCCAGACAGTGTGCATGTGGAATTGTGCTTTTTGTTTTTTAAGAATGTAAAAAGTTACAGTAAGATCGAACCATGGGGCCCGTCACTCCTATGATCTCTGCCTGGCTGGGTTGCCACTGCCTCAGTTCCCCGGAAGCTTCTCCTTTGGTTCACCCCAGAGCCCACAGGAAGAGGGGGTCTGCTGGGAGGCCTGTCTGAAGGATGGAGGATCCTGGGTCATTTAGCAGCTATTTCCAGGGTTTGGCTTGGGTTTGGATGCTGGCTTCTGTGTGAAACACGAATACATGCAAATTGTACATAAAACTCCACCAGAGCGGAGAGGGATTTTCCAGGCCCTGGTACATCTCTAGGGAGTTAAAAATGGAAGATGTTTCTTCTTAAAGTGGCCCAGACTGAGACTTTTCCTTTGGGAAAAGGGCTAGTAGCTCTTTGTAAGGCTGGTGTGTGTGTATGTATGTGTGTGTATATATATACATATGCATGATGCTGTGCAAATGCCCAGGGCTGTCTGGCATTTTCCATAAAATGAGAGCCTGAGATTGCCTAAGCCTTCTGATTTCTGATGCCTTCTCCAGGCCTGGAGGCGCTGCTTCGTTCAGAGCACAAAGGCCTGACTACCTGGCTTTAGCAAGCTAGGACACCCAGGGTGGCATCTTTACCTTTCTAGTCATCTCTGAGGAGGCTGCTTGCCAAGACTCTGACTTCTACTGGCCATAGCTAGATGGTGAGGGCTTCTTAGAACTCATTCCACCTTTAAGGGGGCCCCACAGCGCCAGCATTATATGGGTAAGTCCAGGCCTAAGGTCAGGAGCAATTCCTGGAGCCTGAGGAAGTTGTAGGCTACAGTGAGCTACCAGTGGTGGGGCAAACTGGAGACCCCCAAGACAGTGAGAGAGGCCACAGCATCTGAGGGAATGGAGCTCTTTCGTGGCCTGAGGTTCAGAAGAAACTGCAACGAGGAAAGGCATCCCTATCAATGTCACTGTTCCTGAAATGATAGGAGAACCCCAACCCTGCTTCTCACTGCTCTCCCACCAGCAGGACCCCTTTAGGCATGGGTCTCATCCTCCATCAAGTCCCCTGATCTAGGGAGCCCCAGCTTTCCAGGGAAGCAGCTCCTGGCATCGGGGGCACTGAGCTCTGTGGCCTGAGGTGAAGGATGATGGTGTGATGTATCATGGCGGTGTGACTGAGACTGAGTTGGGGGGTGGGGACCGGGGAACAGGCAAAAATACACATGTGTCACATGGATCCTGAGCTGCCATTGTACCTTGGAGGACTGGTGTTTCTCTGGGAAGTTGGGAGGTGGGAAGGGAAAGGGTCTCATTTTCCTGTCCCTTGAAATCATGCTCATGATTCTTTTAGAAGATTGCTCAAGCTGCCTCCAATTGCCTCTTTCCAAAACCAAAGCATAGGAAAAGAAGTAAAAACAGCTGAGGCTGCAGCATAAGCAACTTAGGATAGACTCTAGGAAGCACTGCCAACAAAGACTGCCAAGAAACGTTTTTTGAGTTTTTCTTCTCTAGAGGTGGGTCCTGGTTCCTCCCCTGGAGACCAGGATTCTGTATAGTCCTGTACGCTGGTTGGCGGATTGCCTGGACGTCTCTTTAGGCCTGTCTGGCTCACAAAGTCTTGCTGGCTGGGTTTTAGGCTGCCGTACTGTTGCTGGGGCTCACTTCCTGTGGGTAGGTTGTTATTTTGCCCGCAGATCAAGTCCTCACTATCTAGATGCCTTGATCATGGGGATCTCTGTTTTCCTCTCTGGATAGCTCTGATCCCCAAGTTATTTATTTCCTGTTGCCTAGGTAACACCTCTAATTGGATGCCTTTTAATCGTTCCCTTTTTTAAAGGATAAATGTGGATTTTATTTCCAGGTCTTGTCAGAGGGCCCTGCCCTAGAGAACACATGCCCCTGTGAGTGTACAGTCCCGTCATTGTGACTGAAACCATGGCTTGGATGGGGGGACGCTCACTGGGATGGCCTGACAGTCACAGTGAATCCTGAAAGCATGGCTTTCATAGGAGCCCACCCTTCAGGATTTAGTAAGACTGACCTCTCTCCTCGCCAGCGTTGCTTCACTGGCTTCACCCCAGATTAGGGCCTGTGTTGAAAAACCAATCCTAACTCAAATCAGAAATTAGCTGGAGAGTCACTGAGTAGCTGGAGAGTCACTGAGATGCGAGGTAAGCTTTCCCTCAGAAAGGGGAAAGAAGAGTCTGACATTCAAGTTTGACTTTAATGCTGTGTGCATGAGTGCGTGCATGCATGGTTTTGTGTGTGTTTTCCAGGCACAGTTGCCTGGGAGAGAGATTTCACAGCATGGCTCGGGCTGGAGGTGGTGAGGCGGTGCTTTTCTAAGACTTCCTATCAGAAGCTGTGCATACTGGTGGGTCACGCCATGCCTGTATAAACTCTGGAACCTGTCCTTGGCCTCATCATAGATGAGAAAAATGGGCAGGGAGAATGTTTGTTTACAGCTCCAGACCCTCATCCTTTCAATGAATCCTGAGTATCTGGCCTTCTTCCATGTCAGGGACCCCTGTGCTGCGGAAGGCAAGTCTGGGAGAATCTGTCCCTCAGCCTCAGAGCAAAACTTTCATCCTAACATTGCTTTCATCCACCAGTTTCACCAGCTCCCTCCCTCCTGCCTTCCTCTACCTCCAATAGGCTGTGCATGGAGAAGACAAATCCATTTGACGAACAATATTTAGAACGGGATTCTGTCCTTCCTGACCCCAAACACATTATGGCCTCTGGAGCCAAATACCCTGACATTTACAAGATGGCTTCTTTTGGGTTCCTGGTGCTGCAGGCCCTGGTTCCCAAGGACGCGGCTGGCAGAGCTGCCTCCTTCAGAGGAGGAGGAGATGCTGGAGGGCTGTGCCCTGCAACCATAATCTCTTAAAGGAGGAAAAGTTGAACTGATCCACAGTAGTTAAGAAAAAACAATCCACACCAAAAAAGAAAAAATTGTGTCTGAGAAGACTCAGATATTCCTGGTTAATAATGAAAAGCACTGCTGTGGATGAGCTTGTGACAGAAAGGACGGTTGGGGGATTCAAGATGTGCTGATTCGAGACTGGAGATCAGCCAGCTAAAGCCCAGCAGGGCTCCTGCAGCCTCAGCGCTCCCCTCCCCACAGATGCCCTGGACTGCCGGCCATTAGAAGTAGCTGCCCTGTGTTCTGTCCTCAATGGACTAACTCTGGGCTGAGAAAGGCCAGCTAAGCCCCCCACCACTGCAATTTCCAAATCTGGGGGAAATGCCACAGTCCGCAAGTTGGTGCTATGTTTCATCTCATTGCATAATACTACACCATTCTCTGTGTGTAGTGGCTGTTCTATATATATACATCGGGAGGCAACATATGGCTTTCCCTACCCCCACCTGTCAAAACTGTGACTATATCACTTCTGACGACCAGAAGGAAGCTGCTAGGCTGGGCCAGGATTCTAAATGCTGAGGAGGTAATTCAGAGCCACGAAAAGTTGCACCATATGCTTTGGGGTTGCCGGCTGCTTCTGTGCATGGGGATAGGTTTTAGTGCCAGTCTGCAAAACTCTCCTCGCTGCGGTATGCCCTGGGTGGGGGTCTGGGGAGCCACCTTTTCTCTCCCTGAAGGAGAATATGCCGGGGGCCACGGTTCTCCAAGAGGGGACTCATAAGGAACACAGGCGTCCCCAAAACCTGCCCTTGATAACATCAGGCCTGGCCAAATAGTATTTCTTTAAAAAAATTTTTTTGTTTCATTTTATTGGATAAAGATTAAGAAAGCGCCAGCAGTGACTGAGAGAAGGGAAGCAAACCATGCCCGGCGGCCCCGCGGCCTGGAGAGGGTCCCAGCGCGGGCGGACGGGCGGTCTACCTGGAGGCGCTGGTCTCGGCCAGCCGGTTGTTCATGATGCCCAGCGCGCCCACGCCGCCCGAGAAGCCGTTCTGGCGCGTGTTGACGCACACGCTGCGCGGGTAGCCGTTGGCAGTCTCCGACAGCTGCTTCTGCAGCAGCGCCAGCGACACCTTGTTGGAGGCCGTGAGGTCGCGCATGGAGATGAGCTCGCCCGAGAGGCGGCGGCCTTCGGCGTCGCTGTCGCGGGCCGCGGGGTCGGCGCCGAGCGCGGCCAGGCGGCGGCGCAGCCGGGAGCCCGGGGTGATGGCGTTGCGCCGGGACAGGGGCGCGCCGGGCGCCGGGCAGCAGCGCGCGCAGCAGCGGCAGCTCAGCTTGCGCAGCATCCAGTTGAGCACCTGCTTGATGAGGATGGAGATGACATTGAAGAGCGAGTAGATGCAGCACACGCCGAGCAGGATGAAGAGGAAGTTGCCCAGGCGGTAGAGCCCCTGGTTCCGGTAGGCGGCGTGCTGGCTGCTCACCAGGTCCCCGAAGCCGATGGTGCTGAAGGTGACGAAGCAGAAGTAGAGCGAGTCCACGTAGTCCCAGCCTTCCACGCTGGTGTACATGGCCGAGGCGCAGCACGACAGCAGCACGGCGAACAGGCCCAGGATGAGCAGCACGTGGTACACCGAGGGCTTCCAGCCCGCCAGGCTGTCGGCCTCCGAGAGCGCGGACCCGCGGCGGAAGGTGGCGGGCAGTAGGCCGCTGCGGCGCAGCTGGCGCTCCCGGCAGGCGCGCATGATGAAGGCCAGCAGCGAGATGATGCGCTCCAGGAAGAGGTTGAAGAACAGGATGGTCCCGGCGCAGCCGAACAGTCCGTAGGCAATGAGGAAGGCCTTCCCGCCCACCGTCGCAGGGGTGGTCATGCCGAAACCTGTGGAGACAGGGCAGGGTCAACGTGGGCCTGGCCGCGCAGGTGGTCCTCATGGGGCGTTGGGGGGCGGGGCGGAGCATGCAGGTGCTCGCGTGGCTCCTATTTTGAGTGGCACCACTCAGGCGGAGGGAAAACAGCACTTAGTCATTTCTCTCCCTTGGTGGCACCTGATAGGGTTCATGATCTTGACAGCCCCTATACTGATGGGGGAGACAGGGCCCTTCATCTTGGGGACCTATAAATCCAAGTGAGTGGGGCAGGTAGTCACTAGGAAGGACCCATCATGACATACAAAATAGAAACCACTGCTGCACAGGTGCAAACCACTGAGATACCCACAAAGCAAACAAGTGACACCTGCTCTCCCACTCCCCCAAATTGTTTTTTGAAAACTGTCATCTTTATTTTAGTTCATAAATACATTAATATGCTAGTTTAGGTGAATTTTGCTGGGTGAATTACAAATATTTACATTAGCAAAAAAACCAACATAGATCTCTTCAAAGACATCTAGCTTCTCATGTGCTTGTACATTTTTTATACCAGTCTTGTTACTTGGAAACTCCACTGCCTACTTGAGACTGGGGAAAAAAGCCAAGTAATCTTAGTGCTGTGACTAATTTTCACTGCGCAGGCACTTTGGAAAGGTCTTTGGTCAAAGGATCATATTTTCTTTTGTGTGTGTGTGTGGGGGGGCAGGTTCTTTGTCACCCAGGCTGGAGTGCTGTGGTACAATCATAGCTCACTGCAGCCTTGAACTCCTGGGCTCAAGTGATTCTCCTGCCTCAGCCTCCTGAGTAGCTGGGATTGCAGGCACGCGCAAAAAGGACCATATTTTCTTTCTTTTTTTTTGAGACAGAGTTTCGCTCTTGTTACCCAGGCTGGAGTGCAATGGCGCGATCTCGGCTCACCGCAACCTCCGCTTCCTGGGTTCAGGCAATTCTCGTGCCTCAGCCTCCTGAGTAGCTGGGATTACAGGCACGTGCCACCATGCCCAGGTAATTTTTTGTATTTTTTTTTTTTCTGGTTGTTAAAATTTATTAGCCCACCATTGCCCATCTCCCACATTTTACACACTCACCATTACTGAATATAAATAATTCTAAAAATCATTTACTCCTTGGAAAATTAAGAATTTTTTGTATTTTTAGTGGAGACGGGGTTTCACCATGTTGACCAGTATGGTCTCGATCTCTTGACCTCGAGATCCACCTGCCTCGGCCTTCAAAAGTGCTGGGATTACAGGCGTGAGCCACCGCGCCCAGCCCAGGACCATATTTTCTTAGTCTACCAACATTTCATGCCTTCTGGAATTGGACATGAGGCCAAGTGGGTAGTCCGTCACTTCCTAGTTCTTACAATGTGAATATGGGGTGATGCGAGAATGTGCATTTCAAACCAATTCCCAGATGATTCTAAAGTCTTTCATACTAGAATAGCAGGCTTTTCTGTTTAAAGGGCAGTTGTTAAAGAGTTGTCATATGTGCCCATTTTTTTCCAAGTATGTCAAAGATTTTCAACCCCTCCCTGTTATAAAAAAAAAATCAGTTTACCAACTCTGTCTACTAATAGACCCCAAAATTAAGTGTCAATGCTCAAAAGTCAACTGTAGCTCCTCTTCTTTCCTCAAATAAGTTATTTGGAATTGTGAATGAATCCAAACTGAACAACTGTCGACTATAAGTCTTTCTCCAAATGCTTGTTTTTTTTTTTTTTTTAATGTAACCTGTAGCACAGCTGGGCAGACAGCCTTGTTAGGGAAGAATTCCGTAGGGCTTTGCCTAAATTGGGATTTCTCACTCTGGGACCAGGTAGAGTGTAATCAGGTGGCTAGAGTTAATGGTCTCTGAAAAGAGCTTTGTGAAGCTGACAAAAGGATTGCTGGAGAGTAGTTCACTCACACCCTTCGGAGAGTGAGCATGGCTCTGCCACTGGGTGCCAGCTCCTTCTCAACCAAGGATCACCATCAATCATCCTTGCTCACACTTATGACCAAGGAAAGGCTCTGGCCCAGCTGGGTCCCGTGCTGGTGGTACGTCTCAAATTTCTTTGTTCTGGGAGGTCTATACAACTGCATATTGTTTCAGGCTCTTATCATTCTTAACTCACCGTATGTTCAACACACAGGCTTTAAGGGGGTCTTTATCAATTGATTGCTGCAGGTATGGCTGCCTGCCAGCATGCTTGCCCATGCCATCCAGGGCAGTGCAGAGTGGCAGCTCTGCCTCTCCAGCCTGGGCTGTCTGCCGACTGCTAGCTGTGGTCTCTCTGTGGGGCTCGTGGTTGCCTGACTGATTATGGGAGGGGGTTTCATCTCTTGGTGGGAAGATTCACTTACTGCTTGGAGTCTGAGCTGAAAAAAATGGATCATTTTTCTGAGCAGCACCATGGTACCATTCAACACCTCTGGCAGTGGTTAGGGGCATTCCTGTTTAATTTGTGCCCTATGGCAGAAGGGCTACCTGTGCCCTGCAAGTGGGGTGGGACTAGCCTTAGGAAAGTGGAGAAGAGTTGTCTCATGTGGCTTATGATTTCCCTAAACAGACTATAGAAAATATTTCTTGTAATACTTTCAGAGTACATTCCTTAAGCCTATGTGCTAACAATCATTTTCTAGACTGTCTGAAGGAAATGCCCAATTGCCTGAGCATGGTGTTCATCTTATGCTTAATGACTCGGGTTAGGGGAAAATCTTATGATGTTACCCATGTTGAGGAAGAAGATGGATTATGTCCCTAGATTCACAGAAAGTGAAAAAAACCAAAGTAGTTGTGTAACCAAGAACTCAATGGAGGGATTGTGCTACATTGTAAAGCCACACTCAAGTTCTTAAGTTTATAAAGAAATCAGTTCTGAAGTTACATGGCTATAGGTGAAGTAGGAGTATGTGTGTGTGTTTATAAAACATTTTAGATCAATAACCTAAATGTCTAACAACACAACTATATGATTGCCTATTCATAAAAAGAATACTATACAGCAATGAAAAAGCATGAACCATCGCTACTTGCAACAACACAGATAAATCTCACAAAAAGAATGTTGAGCAAAATAAACTGGACACAAAAGAATACATTCTGCATTATTCCATTAGTATAAAACTGGAAATCAGACCAAACTACAGTATTTTTTAGGGATGCCTGCATGGTTGGTAAAATTATAAGGGAAAGCAAGGAAGTAATTTCGGTAAGTCAGACCTGGGATTTCCTCTGGAAGATGGCAGGGGGCAGTAGCTGAGAGGGGACATAGGGGAACACTGGGGTACTAGAAATGTTTATGTGACCTGGCTGTTAGTTACATGTGTGTTAGCTGTATAATAATTTGTTAAATTGTATGTTTTATGAGGTTTTTGTACTCATAATCAGAAAAAAAATGTTAATTCCTAGACTGTTAGAACTCTCAGATACCCTAGTTCTGATGTGCCCCTCACTGTACAGGTGAGGGAGTAGGGGCTTAGGGGCTGTCACCTGCATCTTATTGGGGACAGACTGCCACCTTTTGTCCTGGGTTCAAACCAGGTGCATAGACCAGTATACACAATACTGTGTCTACTCACTGAGGGAAAACAAAATGTCCTATAGAGGGATAACTCTGGTAAATTCCTAAGGTAACTGAAAATTGAAAATCCTGGGCCTGAAGAAACAATACTTTGTCTAAGAAAATGTTGAATTGGATTTGTCAGCTACAGTCTCAAAGCTGAGAACAGTATGTGTACAGTTCTCCCCATTCTAACAGAAGTTCCAGACATATCCATGCTGGACTTACTAAAACAGCAAAACAGGTCTGGGGCTAGCAACAACCCACACCCCCACCTCCAGGCTGTACGGAAAGGCTGGGGATTGATGGGCTCTTCCATCAGTCGGGAAGTTGTTCTGGGGAGTTGTGGCGGTGGGGAGTGGTGTGGCTTCTTTCACTTTCACCTCCCCCCCCCCCCCCCCCCGCCTAGGCCAGGGGATGGTTGGAGCAGGGAATGTCAAGAGGACTTATGGGGCTGCAGCAAGAGGAGAGCCCAGCAGCTCACTTCCCAGCTGGCTGGGCACAGCCGCTCACAGCCCTGCCCAGAGTGGAGCATGGTGAGAGTTCTGGGAGAACCTGACTAGTTCCCCTGGAGTCCAGAGCTGTGCTGGAGCGTTCTCTGGGTGGGAAACAACTGGGGCAGTCCCCACAGGCAGGTGAGGAAGAGGGCACTCACGGGAGCCATCTGCACTTCGAGGGCTTGCTGCATCAGGATGCGTGAGGGTGACATGGGTCACCAGTGGGTGACAAGTGGATATTGAAAGGAAGAGATCTGAAGAGACTGCCCAAGAGGGCTGCCTGCTGATGCAAGGCGGCCCCAGCAAGAAGAGGCTGAGGGTCAGGGGGCTGGGGACAGCGTGAGAGGGAGTCACAGGAGGAAGGATGGAGAGGGCAGTGCCCACTCAGAGAATGGGGCGGGGAGTGGTCCCTGTACAGGGCTCCTAAGGACCCATAAATAGTTGCCATGAAAGCACATATGCCTGTTCTAACAGGGAGCCTTGCAGCCCTACTAGCAAAAGTTAAGAAGGAATGATAGTGGCTCCAGTGATGTAAGATCACCCCCATGCCCCATCCACTGCGGGTCACCTGAGCCATGTGTCAGCCCAGAGCTGGAGGGGGAGGCTAAGCTCTGATTAGAAGTGAATTTGAAGATCTGATTAAACATCTGAGAATGAGTCTCAATCTTAAAACTGGTACTTCAAAAAAAACAAAAACCAAAAAACCCAAAAAACCAAAAAACGGGCACGGTGGCTTATCCCTTTAATCCCAATGCTTTGGGAGGCCGAGGCAGGCAGATCACCTTAAGTGGGGAGTTTGAGACCAACCTGACCAACATGGAAAAACCCAGTCTCTTCTAAAAATGCAAAAGATTGGGTGTGGTGGCACATGCCTGTAGTCCCAGCTACTCAGGAGGCTGAGGCGGGAGAATCGCTTGAACCCAGGAGGCAGAGGTTGCAGTGAGCTGAGATTGCACCATTGTACTC